GTCATTTTTATTACTGTATTTCTTTTTAAATCGTAGGAGGAAATAACAAGAACCTACGCTTCTTTAAATTTAAATTTTGCGTAAAATCTACCTTAATTTTAAATTTAAAAGTAATAATTCCATAAAGCGTTGGATATTATATAATGGAAAGTTTAAAAATAACTTCTAAGCTTAAAAAAGATTTACTTTATATGAAGTTAACATGAATATTTTATAAAAAGAAGGCTCAGATTTTTATTAACTTTCAGTATGATAATAATTTTTTTGATTACTTTTTAAAACTTTAACACTGTGTATCTTATATTTCGTGTGACTGCTGAATAAAAGTAGTTATTTTTAACAATTATAGTTTATTTTATATGATCTTTTTGTTTTTTTTCCCACATGTAATTTCTATACAACCTCTTTTTCTGGCTGGACGATTCTTTATATTCTTTATTTTTAGGCTATGAATTCCAATATTTTGTGCGCTTACATTATAGGCAATTTGCAAATTTTTTATAGTTAATTAAAATTTCAGTTTAGTTTTTTTTTTCAATGTAAGTTCTTAACAACTATATTTTAACGAATGGCAATTCTTTTTAAATATAATATATATAACCTTATTTTTTTATTGCGCTTATAATTTATAGTTTTAGCAACTGCAAGGTAATTTTTTTATATTGCTTATGCATAACAATTGTTTTTTGGGTTTTTTTTACCAGTATATATATTTCTAACCATCCTTTTTTTAAATTTATTTTATAATTTAGTATTTTGTTACAGCGAATCTGCAAGACTGTTTTTTTGTGTTTACAACCTGCTAACTTTTAAATTTGCTGTACAACTTTATTTATTTGATTGCCAGTTCCTTTTTGGTTTTTAATTTCATATCACATTTTTTTCAAATAGAAATAAAAGGAATAAATAATTAAAAGTATATTTATATATATATATAAATCCACTTCTCTATTCTTTTTTTTTCAATAAAATAACAGGTAATAAAATACTAATAATGATAATTGGCTGATGTCAATTTATTTATTTTATTTAAGGCCTTTCATTAGTTTTGGTGCGCTTATAATTCTAATGAAATTGCGGTGCCATTTTTCTGTTTGTTTAAAAAAATAATGAATATTATTTTTATTCATTATTATTAACGATTCAGTATTACCATTATAAATGTAATTATTAAATTATCTCCCATAATTTCTCTAATTTTATAAATAGCATAAAAATTATAATAACTGCTCACTTTAATTCAAATAAAAGTTCACTAAATTTAATGTTTTCTTGCTGTCCAGTACTAAAATTTTTCAATAAGACTTCCTTTTTTTCAAATTCCGTCGCTCCAATTAAAATCTATGAATTAAAATTGAAGGAATAATACTGGACAACATATTTTATGTTTGGGTTATTATTGTTAAAAAACATTAAGAAATTGCTTTTGCTATTAATTATTGTTATTTTTTAATAATAATAATTTTATATATAAAAATTTTATTGGTGGAAAAAATGAAAAAAATTGAATGAACATAGTTTTTTCAATATTTCTATATAGTTAAAAAAAAATTCAAACTTTGTAACTTTTAACGTTATAAATAATTAATAATAATAAACTATATATGAATTATTTTTTATTTACAGTGAATAAAGATTGAACAAACATTGAAAGCTTTCTAAAAAATATTAATAATTAGATATTAAACTTTTTTTTCATTACTTATTGAAAAAAAATACGTCAATATTTTTTACGTAAATGTAATATTTGTATAAATTTCATATAATAATTTAATTCATTATTTATAGCAAAAATAAAAACCTCATCTTTGAAGTGAATAACAAAAATGTATCTAAATATCGTGGAAAAACTTTTATTATTTATATGACAACCTTTTTGAGTGAATATCGAATGAATATTAAATTTTTCATTATATTCAGTGAAAAAAAACCCACACTTCCCCCCCCCCCCCCCCACGCTATTTAACGTGAATCGTAAACAATATTAATAAAAATTTCTTTTACTATATTAATTTATTATATAAATATCACCACAAAAGGAAGTTTTCACAACGTAAAATTGTAAAATTTAAAAAAAAAAATTCAAAAAGTATAAGTTAATACAATTTTTACAAAAATATAAAAAAAGTAATAAAAATAAAATAATATAAAATATGTAATAAAAAAAGTAAATAAAACGATTTCTAGAAATATTCAACAAGGCAAATTATAAGATGTATAAAAAAATTCTAATTATTTTTAAAAATAATAATAACTTTTTTTTTAATTATTTATAGTGAAAAAAAAAACCCGAAGAGCGCAATTAACGTAGAAATAGTGTCAATAATAAAAAATATTACACTAATCATTATCAAATATATTTGAAGAATTTATAAAAAGTTTTTTTTTCTTTTTCTTTAGTAAAAAAAAAAATACTCCGAGAAATGACAGCCTTATTAAGTAGCCATGAAAAGGTATAAATAATTTATGAAAATTTTTGTTTCCATTTATTATAGCGAAAAAAAAAAAACCCCAGCATGGGCGCCCTTGTTAACGGCTTTAGACAGTTTTTTAGAAATGGGTCCTGCAAATTTATAGAAAAATAAAAATAATAATAAAAAGTATAATATTTATAAATAAAAAAAGCAGAAACTAAACTTAATTAAAAGTTTTAAATTTTATAAATAATAAAAGAAAAAAAATAGAAAAAATTATGGAAAATATAAAAAATTGCTTTTTTTATATAACAAAGAACAAAATCTATAAATAACCTCATAAATTTTATTACTAATTATAAATATTATATTTAATAGAATATAAGGAAAACTATCCAACGCTTCTTATAATAAAATAAATATGAAAACTTCTTATATTTTTAATAAGAAAAAGTAGTGAAAATAAATAATAACAATAATAAATAGCATAAACTATTACTCAAAAAAAAACTTATAAATAGGAAAAATTATCAAATTAATAACTTTATTACGAGAACGTTAGTAATATAAAACTTTAAAAAGATAATATAAAAGATAAATGATTTATATAAAAGAGTGAGAAAAAAGATATTAATGTTTAAAAAAAATAATAAAATAAAGAAACTTTTCAAAAGGAAATGTTTACAAATGATATGAATATTAAATAATAAAAAACACTAAAAAAAAAATAATATTAAATATTAAAAACTTTTATTAATATAATAAAAACACTTAAACAATTTTAAAGGCTACCAAAAAATATAAATTTTTCATAAAAATAATAAAAAACTTAAAAAAAGTTGAAAACAAAACTTATAAAAAATATAATGAAACATTGAAAAAATTTCGCAAACTACTAAATTTTTTATACATAATAATAAAATATTATAAGAATAAAAATAATAAAAAGTTTTCGAAATACAAAAAATAAAATTTAATAAAATTTTTCATAATAAACTTTTTTAAAAGTAAAATATAATAATAAATAGCTTTCAAACTACAAAACAAATAAAAATAATAATCTTTTATTAAATAATGAAAAACACTAATAAATATAAAAATATATTTAAAAACTTTTATAAAAAAAAAATAAAAAAAAAACTGGTAAAAAGTTTGAATTTTAAAATATAAAAAAAAATTTTAATAAACAAAATTTTTATAATTATAAACTTTTATATAAATAATAAAACAAAAAAGTTTACCTAATCATAATGAAAAATATTAGAGATAATAAACTTTTCTACTTTTATAAATAAAAGTCAAAACAAATATTATTACATTGTAACCTTTTCAAGTTTAAAACATCTATAAATCAAAAAACTTTGAGTTTGCAAACTATTATTTTTTTTACTAATAAACTTTCCTAATTTTATAAATATAAGTAAAAAACAATAAATAAAGCTTTTATCAAAGTTTAAAACTATTAAAAATATAGTAAAAATATTAGTTATAATATAAACTCATTTACTTAAAAACTTTTATAATAATAATATTATAAAAACTTATAAAAGTCTGCAAACTGCCAAAAAAATAAGTATAATTAATATGAAAAAAAAATAAATGAACGCTTACAAAATATTAAAAACAATTAAAAAATATTTTTTTACTATAAACTTTAAATTTAAAAACTTTTAAAAAAAATAAAATAGACTTTAAAAGTTTGTTAACTAAAAAATATTATAATAATATTAACATAATAAACTTTTTTACTTTTATTAATAAAAGTAATAAACAAATTTTTTTTTAGTAAAAAAGAAATGAACACAAAATTTTTTTTATTAAAAATAATTAAAATATTTTATTATAAATATTATATATAACAAACTTTCCTACTTTAATAATTAAAAATGAAAATTAAAAAAAAAAAAGCTCAATAAATTTTGCAAACTTATAAAAAAATATTTAGTAACTTTTCTAATTTTGAAAAATAAAAGTAAAAAATAATAAAAAAACACTTGAAAAAGTTTAGAACTATAAAAAATAATAAAAATATTTTATATTGATTTTCCTTAAATTTAAAGTGAGCAAACCTTCATATAATTGAAGGACTTTGAAGCCATTTTCCCGCAATTGTTGTGCAACTTGCATACAAAAGTAAGTGATAGTGGAAATTCTTATTATATAAAACATGAATATAATGAAAAAAGTTATAATATAATAATAATATGAAAATTGTACGCCTCAGAAAAAATGATATTAATAAAAATATAATCAAAACAAGACCTCCCAAGGACACGTGATACGCGTGCCACGGGTTTAAACTTATTAAAAAAATTAACATAAATATGAAAATATTCATAACAGATTTATAAGGATATAATTAAATAATAATGAATCTATATAATATATATATAGTAATATTATTTTAGTATAAAATTTAATAATATAAAAAATGTTCAAAATGGAATAAAAATAAATAATGAAAATATTTTATATTAATAGTAAACATTTTATAATTATATATAAAATATATGTAATTATTATTTCAGTTTAAATAATAAAGTAAATTATATAGTATAAAAATATAATTTATTAAAAACAATTTTAGATATATAATGTTAATATAATTTTTACAAAATAGAAAAAAAATAATAATTATAAAATTTTATATAATTTTTGTATAATAAAATAAAATAAAAAAGTATAAAACATAATAATAGAAAGTAAAAAAATTACTAAAATAAAAAATTAACAAAATCTTTACTAAAATATAAATAATAGAATTAAAAAAGTATAAAATAATGTAAAAGTTAATATTATTTTGTAAAATATAATAATTGATAATAACTTAATTAAATAATAAATAAAATAAAGAAGTTATAAAAAAATATTATAAGTAATAACATTAATATAATAACTTGTTAGAATCTTCTTTAAATTGCACTTCTAACACGGCCAATAATATTTCTTTTTTTAACGGTGCCACGTGAATATTTTTACTGTTGAGTATATCAATAATTCTTTCAACGCCGGCTGCCCAGCTGCGTTGTAATGATGATGATGATAATAATAATAATGATAACAGTAATAAATATATAATAATAACAATAATAAAAATAATGATAATGATAATAGTAATAGTAACAATAATAATAATAATTACCCAATCCCAGAAATGTGGGGGCCTCCCAGTTGTGCTGATAATGAGTTGTACCTTCCTCCCGCCAAAACTGAATTCTGTTAATTATATTATATATAGAAAATAAAAAGATTATAATAAAAAAATATTTGTGTGAAAAAATAATTTTAGTGATTTTTATATTATCTTTTTTAGTGAAATTAAAAAATTTTAGTTATTAAGAATTTATTGTTATGAATATTATTAAATTATTTTAAATTTTATAGTCTACTAAAACAATTTTTTTCTATATAATAAAATTATATAAAAAAATTATAATAGCGAATTTTTGTAGTACTTTTTTTAGTAAACTACTCAAAAGTTATCAGTTCCGACTAAAGTATTCATTATTAGTTATATGAAAAAAATATATAACTTTAAATAATTTTAATTTCCCTCTAATAATTTCCTGTAAAGTATATATAACATTTTTATAAAAAAATTATTTGTGATTATTATACTCCTTTTTTCAGTAAACACTAAAAAAATTCAATTAATAAAATTATCCATTTTTTTTATAATAGACAATAATAAATTGAGGAAAAAAATTATTACAATGATATTTGTATTACATTTTTTCTAGCGGATTTAGCTTTGTTAGTTCATTATAAAACGTATAAAATATAAAATTAAATATATTAATAAAAATATTTATTAATATATATGAATATTAAAAGAAAGAAGATTTAAAAAAATAGTAAATAATAATGACTTACTAAACAATATAAAAAAATATACAAGCAAATAAAAAACAATAAAATTAATTAATTAATATCATGTAAAAATTTTTATAGTAAAAATATAAATAAAATATTATATATAAAAACTTTCGTGAAAAATAATTATATAAAATATATTTAGTTATAAGAATTACTGGAATATAAAAAAGATTAAACAATATACTATATAATACTAACAATAAAAAATAATAAAGTATAATATATTTAGTAAAGAAAAATAATATAATATATATATAAAAATAATTATAATTTTATAAAATACCAAATAATAGTAACAGGGAAAAAATAATAATAATAAAGAATAAAGAAAAATTTAAAATATAAAAAAAAATATAAAAATTATTGTAAGTTTAAAAAAAAATAGTAATAAAAAAAACTAGAAAGACAAAAAAGATTCAAATAAAGGTATATAAGAAACAATAAGAAGTTATAATAAACTTTATTATAAATAAAAGTTACAAATAATATTAATAAAGTATTAATAAATAAATAATAATGATAAATAAATAGAAAATATATTAAAAGTGAGAAATAAAAATATTAATAGAAAAAATTATATTAAAAAAATAATGACAAGTTTTATTTCAAATATTATATTTTTTTATATAATATTTTTTAGTAAAACTTTCATTTTTTTGAGTTTTATTAATAATTTTTTATACCTTATTTATACTTTAGAGTATTATCTTTGTTTTATTTGTTTATTTATATATTTATATTTTTCATATTAACACTTTCTTACTATTTAATTTTTTAATTTCAAGAATTTTTTAAGTATATGGTAATAAAAAAATAATGAATGCAATAAATAGCCTGAGCGCCGGCATGTTGCTTACTAACAAACTCCCAAACTGTTGAAGTGTAATAGTCTAAACCTAAAAAAAAAATAATAAATAAATGTTTTTAAAAATATAAAAATAATAGTTAGTAAAAGTTTTCAAATAATAATAATAATAACAAATATATAATAGACAGTACCAATAATAAACTCTAAACAATAAAAGTTTTTAATAATAATATATAATAAGCAATAACTTGTCTGCAAAATAATGAGGTTATAGAATTTTTTGGTTACTTATAGAAACTATATAAGAAAATATTAACTAAATGATATAATACAATAATTCAGAATTTTAATAATAGTAATAGATAATAATAAAAACTATTAAAAAAAAAGGTTTTAATAAAAATAATAAATAATAAAAAAATAAAGTTTAATAGATAATAATAATTAATCAATTTTTCGGAATAACAAAATTATATATGAATTTTTAAATATTTATTTGGAATTATAATAAAAAATAAATATAATATAAAAATAAAAGTTTTTTAATAATAATAATAAAGAAAATAAAAGAAAATAAATAATATTAATAAATGATAAATAATAATAATAATAAAAATAACAAAAAAGTTATTTTTTAAATAATATCATTTTTGTATCAATAATTATAAAGTTTTTATTAAATTTTTAAAATTTATTTTAGTAATAATAATAAATATTAAAAATAATATAAATAAAAGTTGGTAATAATAATAAATGGTGATAAAAATAAAAATTAAAAGTTTTTAATAATAATAATAAATAAAATAATAAAGTTTGTAAATAATAATAATAAAATTGATAACTTTTTTATATTTATTTAGCAGAAATTAATAATATAAATATATTTTTTTATAATAAAAAAGTTTTCATAAAATTTTTGTTAAAATTTTTTTTTCAATAATAATAATAAATAATAAAAAAGTTATTAGAATTTTTATTAATTATATAAATTTATAATATAAATAAATAAACTGTAAAGACAAGTATCAAAAGTTTTGTATAAAAATAATAAAAATATTAATAAAAAAATAATACTAAAAAGTTAATAATAAAGTTTTTAGATATTAATAATGAATATTATATAAATAATTTTTTTATAAAAAAAATTATTAAAAAGCTTTTCGGTAATTATTTGAAGTATAAAATAAAAAAATAATAGAAACTACAACAATATAATACTAATTTTTCTTTAATAATTAAAAGAAAAAGACTCCAAAAAAGTTTAATTAAAATAATATAATAAATATTTTCTTTTTTAAATAATAAAAAGTTATTAAAAAATAATTAAAATAAATTTCTTTTATAAAAGAAAATTTATAAAAACTTCTTCAGCAAAAATTGGATTTAATATAATAAAAATAATAATTAAAGTTTCGAGAGGATTAAAAAAAATAAATAGATTTTTTATATAATACAAAATTATTATAAAGTTTTTCAGTAAAAATTGGATTTAATAAAACGAAAAATACTTAATAAAAAAAGTTATAAATAATTTTTTTTCAGTAAAAATTGGATTTGATATAATAAATATAATTAATAAATAAAAAATATAATAAAAGTTTTGAGAGAACAAAAAAATTAATAATAAAATTATCATAAAACTTTTTCAATAAACATGATGAAAAAATAAAATAATAAAAGTTAAATAATAATAAATATATATTTTTTACAATGAAAAAGTTATTAAATTTTTTTTTTCATTCGACTTAAAAGAGAAAATAGAACTAAAAAATAATTTATTTATTAGGTATACATAAAAAATTATTATTAATAGATAAAGTAAGAAACAAAAATGAAAAATATTACAAAAAACAAACAAAAAGTTTTTTTTTACATTTGAATAATAAATAATACAAACATAATTATTAATAGGAAAAGTTAGAAAATCATAATAGTAATAAGTAAAGTATTACTTAATAAAAAATAAATAGTATGAATAACAATAGTGGCAATGGTTAAAAATAAATAAATAAATATTATAAATATGAAAAGTTAGATAATATTAATAATAAGTAGAGTATAATAATTATAATATTAACAACAACAATAATAATATTATCGTACCCCGAACTAAAGTTTTACTTACAGTAAAAGGAATTTCGAGAGCTTCCAGGCCAGAAAGTACTTGTTCAAATCTCTTTTTCCTATAATAATAACAATTATTATTGTAATCAACTATTAATAATATAAGTATTCATTACTTTTTATTATTATTATATTGTTTAAGTAAAGCAAAAAGTTTATTTTTAGTTGCAATAATATTAATATTAATAATAGTATAAACAAATAAATTAGAATAAATACGATTCTGAAGAGGCAAAGTCGAGCAACGCTGGCGAGTCGCTAGAAATTTCGACATCCTTTGAGTTTTTGGAGTCTAAAATTCTTAAAACATTTCCATTTGCTAATCTGTAAAAAAAAAAAACAGTAAATCTATGGAACCAGTGGAAGCGCCTCAATAAAATTTAAGTTAAAAATTTTTATTAAAAAAATAAAATATTTATTGATGTAATAAATATAAAAAAATTTTAAAAATATAGAAAGCAAAAAACATTAGAAATTGGATAAAAAAATTCAGTATTTTTTTTTTGGGATAAGATTATGCAGAATATTGAAGTTATTTTTATTCAGAAAATGTTAAAAAAAAGATTTTTGTATTTTTTAAAACTGAGTGCATATAAAATTGTGAAAAATATATTATTATAATAAATAAAAGTATAATGAAGAAAAAATTTATATAAAAAATTAAAAAATAATAAAAAGTAAAATTTTAAAGTTTATAAAGAAAAATGATGGATGAATATAAAATTATTAATAAAATCAAAAAATAATAACAAAAAGATAGTAATAAGCAATAAATATTTTAAAAATAATAATAATATAAGAATATTATAGAAATATAAATTATTAATATAAACTTTTTTAATAATAAACAAAAGTTTAAATTTTTTATAATAAAAATAAAATATAAATAAAAACTTTAAGAATAAGAAGAAGAAAAAATTTACATATAAATACATAAATATTAATAAATATATTTAAAATAAAAATAAGAAAAAACTCAAGTTTATTATATAATGAAAATAAAATATAAATACTTCAAGAATAATAATAACAAGAAAAAATATTTAAAAATATTATAAAAAAATTATTAACATAAACTTAAATAATAAACAAAATAAGAGTAAATACATGAACATATTATAAAAATACAAATTATTATAAAAACTTAAATAATAAAAAGATAAGAGAAAATATAAATATAAATTTTTTTAATATTAATAAAAACTTTAACAACATAATTATAACAACAAAAAAGAATATAATATAAATTATTATAATAATAATAATAATAATAACCAGAAAAATATATATAAAATAATATAAATTATTAATAAAACTTTTAAAAATAATAACAAAAAGATATATAATCATATAATTTATTTATAAAAAAAAAAACTTCTTAAAGTAAATAATAATAATAATAAAATTAAATTTTTAAAATTAAGTTTTAAG